CGTAGACATCGAATTCGAGAAATTGGAACACCTAGACACAGAAAACTACCTACGTAGCACACTACCTGGGCCGTCATCGGAAACTTGGACCATGTAGACATCAAAAAATTGTATATTTTTTATTTTAATTATAAGTTTTGAATCAGAGGGGCCTTTTTTTTAATAATTTAAATCTGAATTTTTAATTAGAGGTGATATATATACAATAATTTAATATGTAATTATAGTTTACTTTAGTTTTAATTTACAAATTAATATTGATTTGCGAATTAAAGCCAGTGCAATTCACGAATCAAAATTGATTTTTTAATTATAGTCTGTGTAATTTACAAATCAAAATTGATTTGTGAATTAAAGCTTAGTATAATTAATAATTTAAAATTGAGTTATGATTTATTTGATGTGAATTAGATTAAAAATTGATTTAATTATTTGCAACCCTGGTAGTCCATACTATATGTCGATGGTGCCGACGCTCACTATCGCTACTGGGTATAGTTATGCTCTGTCTAGACCAGAGGATGATCCTACTTGTGGCTCATCTTAGAATGCATTCCGTTTCACGCATGATGCATCATTTATCCATGTTTAACATTCGGTGAACAACAAGGATAAATGATGCATTATGCACATCGTTCGTAAAACGAAATGTACTCCTAGTGAGTAGTGTACACTGTGGAGTACTATGTGCGTACTTACGGTCTTAGCCCCACAATTTATATTTGTGATCCAGTGGCACCCGAGGAGAACCTGTGAATTATGTTAGAATTGTTTTGGGGGCCCCGCGAGATATGCGGGGCGACGTGCGAAGCACGTGTGCAAGACGTCCGGAGTGTTGGTCTCCGGATACGCTATGCGAGGATAATAAAGTTATTCTCCGAATAACTTCCTTAATAAGGAGCGTCTCTGATGGTTGATTCTCGTGTATCGTTTGGGAATCAGGCCCTTGCCCGGAATCCTGGGCATCCGCTTCGGCGTATGTGGCAGCGGACTCGGCGGATCAAATACCACCAGTGAGGGTGGCAAGGAGTCGGTCTGCGTCTGCTGGCACTTCTTCTTCGGCGAGGCTAACTCCGCCAGGCGTTCCACGAGCGTGGATCCGGCAGGCCCGATAGGTCCAGAAGAATTAACTTCGACTCTCGGAAAGATTCCACTTTCCTTTCGAGAAGTGGTTGCGCAGGAGAAGTGGTCTTCGGCAATGGCTCGATGGAAGGCCGAGCCCTTGGAGCGGGCGGCTGCCCGTGGCGAGGACAGTCCCGCTGCTTCCTCTTCCGTGGCAGCTTGCCGAGTGATGTAGATGCAAGTTTGGAACCGAAGACCCGGAGCTCTCTCTGTTACCAGAGGCCCGGGGACACGCTTCGTTATGCAGAGGTCTAATAAGCTCGCTCTGATTTAGAGACCCTCAAGGAGCTCGCTCTATAGTTCCGAAGGAACTGTTTTCCGACCTTGCAATCTCGATTATAGCCTTAATACAAAAAGGCGTCTCATGTCGAGAGAAGTCCTCTCAGCGGGTGGTCTTCTTAAAGCTCCCCAGCGAAATCTGGCTTACGCGAAACTGGCACAAGCGTTAGCCGTCTAGCGGCGGCGCGGCGAACTCGCTAGCGCGTGCGGCGGCTCGGCCGTGCGGCGTGCCCGAGTGGCGGCTTGCCAGGCGCGTAGCATTGCGGCGCTATGAGGATTCAGCCGCCATATACACTACTCACTAGGATAAGCCACAAGTAGGATCATCCACAAGTAGGATCATCCTTTGGTTTAGACAGGGCATTATACTTTAGAGTTCCTCTAATCTATAGATTTAGAAGAGATAGACCGAGCGTAAGCCTGCGGAAGTACTGATAGGCGCGGTAATGCCCATTCTAGACTAGGATGATCCTACTTGTCGCTCATCCTAGTGCTTGATGTTCTAGACTTGAGGATGATCCTACTCGCGGCTTATCCTAGTGAGTAGTGTAGACGGATAAAAATCATACTAAAATTAGCTTTTAATTGTACTAATCCAATCGCGTATAGCTATTGCTAGTCTGGCGCCATCTAGTGGCTGGGGTATTTATGTCTTATCAGGCCCTATCTAGACCGGAGGATGATACTACTTGTGGCTCATCCTTGTAGTATAGACGGGTAACAATCATACTGAAGTTAGCTTTCAATCTTACCAACCTAAAACAATTTAAAATTGTGCAGTGTAGACGGACGACCGTAGTCGGATGAGTCGCGAGTAGGATCATCCTCAGGTCTAGAACGAGCATTAGAAAAATTAAAAATTATCAAATTTAGTAATTTCTGTCGGCTAGCTTCATAGAGGTGGATTCATTTCATCATTGTTGTTTGTCAAATGTTAAATAAAAACGAAATGATTCTCGCGAGCGTTGTGAGCGTTAAGGTGATGCTGGAGCCGTCTGTATAACCGACAAAATTACTATTTTCTATGTTATCGACTATATCTGTCCTTGTATAAACAAAGATATAGACAAGGATAGCACGCTACATATAGTGCACGCACACATACGCACGATGCACATCGACATTATACTTTTATATTACGCTTCCAAATCTTGATTTGGAGGGTTTATCGATGTTTTTCTTGTTGTGCAATTCGGGGGAACTTGTTTTCGCGTTCGTACCAATGGTATATCTCTTATATGAAATACATCTTGTGACGAGCTGTCAGCTCGCCGCAACTCGAGACGCCATATTGGGATAAAAGTAGGATAAGGAAATCTATACTTCCGTAATTTTTTCTCGTTTTCTATATAAAATCGGAGTTCCCCCCGAATCATTAATGTATGTACTGCAATTCTGGAGAAGAATTTTTAATTCTGTCAAATTAATACGACGCTACGTGCCGACAAAAAATGCCGGTAAAACAGACGGCTCCAGCATCCCCTTAAGTGTAACGCACTTTAAGTAGCAATAGACTACGTGGTTCTTACCTTGGATCCAACCAATCACATGCACTTAATTGCTACTTAGCCGCTCAGTGAGCGGTTGTGCTCCTGAATGCTCCTGAATGTCTATAATTCTCCATTAAGAAATATTTTATTGAAACTGGAATAAATTACTTTGTTCTAAAAGATACAACAATAGTCAACAGAAAAGGTATAATAGATATCTGTACATATTGCAGTAATAAAATAGATTTAGTATGCAGTAATAAAGTGAAAAATAGATAGTTAAGAATATTATATCTAAAGAACATACTAAAAAAAAAAATTCTGAATTCACAATTTTTTTAAAAGAATTTTAGAGAAGAATAAAAGAAAAATGTAGGGGAAAGAGATATAAAGACCGAAGGAAGGGAAAAGAAAGCTACAAAAAAGATATTTTAATAATTTCTAAAAAAGAAGAGACTAAAATGATTTTGAAAGATGAGTGAATCCAGGATATTTACAATTTTGATAAATAGATAAAGCTAATATATACAACTTTAAAAATCTTTAAAAAATACATTTTAGAATTTAGATATACATATAAGATGTGCAACTATGTAAATAAGTATAAAATACAGGATGTCAATTGTATGATATTTTAATATGATCCTTATAGCGATGGAAGAATTATGATGAATGTTAAACTTAGGCAGTTATATAATTATAATAACTGAATAAAAAATAGATTAAGACGTTAAGGATGTTCTGGTGCTAACTTTCTAACATTGACAATATTTTGAAAATTTAATATATTGTTTCTATTTATTATCTAAACATGTATGCAAAATCTGAAATCGATTCTCTAACCGGTTCACGAGTTATTTAATTTTTAATTTTGCATGAGTTCTTTTGGAAAATAGCAGCATATTCCCACTTATATAAACAAAATTATGAGGAAGCACCATTGCCCAGCAAACACAGTAATCACCGAGTGCGCAATTTGATAGCAAATTGCGCACTCGGTGATTACTGTGTTTGCTGGGTGACAATATTCTGAAACTTTGTTTGTGATTAAATAAAATACTCACAACAAGCAACGTTTTTAAAAAAGTTGATATCGATTCACTAACGCGTTCTCGAGTTATTAATAAACAAGCAATGAAAACTTCCAAAAATAAGTTATGATACATAGGGCTAGAAAGGTAAATATTATGTCAATGATTTTCATCATGATGTCAATCATATTATGTCAATCATTTTTTACACACCTTATGCGTTTTTAAGTATTATTCAATGTTTGTATATATAAAATATTACTAATATGTACGTAACGTTTTGTTGTTTCTTACAATTTGTTTCAGGTAAAATTCACGTCCAAAAGTTTTTTACTGACAATCACAAAATTTGCAAAATGTACAGTAGTGCCAAATATTAACTAGCATTATTTAATTTCTTTACACGGTACAAGCACATATGGTGCATGTTTTAACTCACAAAAGCATACAATTTCACTTAATTTTAAATTGAAGTAACTTTTGTCTGGGATTGTATAGCCAGAACATCCTTAAGAGGACAATTCATAAAATGAATGAGGAATAGATAATATAAAAGCTTGTTAAGGATTTTTTAAATAAAAAGATAAATTGATATAATTGACTGTACTAAAAAACTTTATTCTTGGAAGGATTTTATTATTTTTGTAAACTGAACGTTTTAAATATTTATTATTAATTTCAAACGGAACACAATTTTTCCAGTATTGTACATACATAACTGTGGAGAGTCAATTAGAGACGGAATATTGTCAGAACAATCTTAATTTATTGCACACCGTTACAAGCGCGACCTCCTTCCGCCATCTTCTCTATTCTCTACCTTCCGCTCGTCGCTCGCTGCGACTTTTGATATATCGATACGATACTTCTCGCACGACTCTCTTTCGACTTACACATAACTACATGTTAAAAAATAGTCGGTTTTAACATTTTTAATTTCAAATATCTCAAAGATTTGATAAAATAGAACATTTCGGAAGCTGAGTTTTCTAAAAAAATATTTAGCACAGAAATTGAGGAAAATGTTCTTTTTTTCATGACTGAAAAAAATTAGTTTTATCGAACACTGTAATTTCAGAAAATGGAATAAATCGATCTTGGAGGAGATTTATGATTCCTTACTTGAGGAACTACCATTAGCAGATAATGCACCAGGAGGAATGATTAAATACCGTCGATCTCTCACTCTAAGGTTCGATATTAGAATAGGTTAATAATTAAGAGATAAATTAACAAAGCATACTGCAAATATAACTCAAATCATATTTTTTTTAGTTTATTTTTTAAAGGATTTATGCACATCTCCAAGGAATTATCGAAAAACGTTTTGGATGTCGAATATATATCAAAGGAATTAGAAAGCGCTTCGGATTGTTTCCATTATAAAGCACCAAAAAGCTCACAATATTACCAAGTGGTAATATTTTATTCTGAATGCTTACAAATTATTATTTAAATACAATAAAATTATGATGTTTCGTTCTGACAGGTGCCTAAAAATCAAGAATCGTATGATCTAATAGGACGTCCTCTTGTACACGTTAGTGCATTTAAGCAAGCAACGGGAGAAGCAATATATTGTGACGACATGCCCAAATTTGCAAATGAACTGTACTTAGCATTGGTTCTCTCTACTAGAGCGCACGCAAAAATCTTGAAAATTGATCCATCTAAGGCACTATCTACGGAAGGAGTTGTGTCATTTTTTTCTTCAAAAGACATAGCGGGAGATAGTAGATGGATGGGAGCTGTATTTCATGACGAAGAAGTATTTATATCAGAAAAGGTATGTTCTTAAACACAAAAATAGATATGAATCTTTTTTGTTGAAATCGTTCATTTTTCCTAATTTTAGATATGCACGGAATAACATAAAAATTTCTGTTATTTTTAAACATTTTGCACAATATTAATGCTTAAATACGAGTATGTTCTATATCTGAACTCATCAATTTTAGTTCCAACAAAGATTAAAAATAAAAACATATTTATATTAAAAATAAAGTTTTATTTTCATTAATTAATGAGAAATTATATGTTAGCTTAACAATACTATACAGGGTGTTAAATTCAAACGTAACAGGTCGAATATCTCGATCACTAAATAAAATATCACGGTCTAATTTTTTTTAGGTTGTATTGTTTCGAGACGGACAAATTTTGATAACAAAAAGATTGACCTTGGGAGGCGTCAAGTTCAAATAAAGGTCAACTTTATTTTTAAACTGCATAATTTTGTAAACACTCACGTTTTTAACCTTTCTTATTATGAATCCAACGCGCTATGACCCAAGGTCGCCGAAGGTCAAATGACCAAATGCGAATTTACGATATTAATAATATTTATATTTAACTTCGGATGCTGCCAAGAAGTGGACTTGGTTTACAATAGGTTCCTTAACACAATCATCCATCCGCACATCGCCCGTCAATCACATTAACAGAATTTTGACGGGATCTTCCTCACGCTAAAACTCGCCATTATTTATCACTACTGCTCTAGCCTATCTTTTCTTATCTCCGCTTCTATCTTTTTTCTATCCTTATATAATTTCCTTAGTATTCTTTCTTTGGTTGTAGCTAGTTTATCGTTCCATAGTCTATTTTTTTCCTGTTATCCCTCCTTAGTTGTATAAACCGGTCCTTTATACTGCTGCACTCCTCTACATAGTGCTTCAAATTATCCCTTCCTTTCTTGCAGAACAGACACATTTTTTTTCTCTTCCTTCCACCAATACATGTTCTCCTATTCCATGTTACCACATCTCAGATTTATCAGGGCTCTGATACTATCCCCTTCGATCTGTTTATCTATGTTTGCCATCCTTAGATATTCCGGTCTATTTCTATCTCTCTCTAACTCTTTATACTTCCTGTTATACTTCGACTCTATTATATTATTCTTTTCCACTTGCCTCTGTATTTCTCAGTCTCTTAATTTAATCTCTTCCCCTAAGTTCCTCCCTTCTCTCCTTAACGACTCGACTGCTTCCACCCCCCACCCGTTTCTATTATAGTACTTTTCTCTCTCTCTCTACCATATCTGTCTTTCTATTTGTTTTTCTCTTTGTCTATCCAACATTTCTTGACCCATCTGCACTCATCCATTTCCCTAATCTTTTCCTCATATCCCATTGCCCTTCCTTCCCATCCTATCCTAAGCTTTCTCAACCCTGAGTTCCATTGACATTAGGTATCTTGGAATACAGAACTTTAAATCGAAAACCTATCTTGCGTAATCTAGCATAATTTTTTCCAAGTTCTTTTTTTCCCATCCCCAAATTTCCACCCCATACGACATCACACTCTGGACTAGGTAATTAAACAAACTCCCTCTCCTTATGAAATCATCTTTACAGATCCATTCTCCTAGACCCCACGTCCTATTTACCGCAATCCTACCTTTCCTAGCTAATTCTTTAATGTGATTTTTGCAATTCCCTCTATTATTAAACACGAAACCTAAATATTTTGTAATAGGCTGGGGTCAGGATCTCGAGCAATAGCACGGCAGTAGTTAGAAAAACACTCTTTATTCGTTTCCGCGCTCCGATACAATACAATACACGTCTCACGCGCTCGCTGCCGTGCCCAGTACTGCCAACCTAACGGGGCCGTCTATATATCCGCTTAAGCCTTAAGCTACTCTCACACTCGGCCAATTCTGACCTTGATTTCCGCCCCCGGAGTCGGTGTTGTAAAAAAAAAAACAAATAACTTGTCTGTACGTAATTTTAAGTAATCTCATGAATATAAGAACAGAACATTGTCTCTTTGGTTTAACAATTTTCTTAATTCTAACTCTTAACTCTAACTTAATTCTAGTTATCTTTGACTGTTACGTCGTTACCCTACTTTGTATCGTCGTTAATATTATTTTCTGGATGTTTTTCTTTCATCCACGGTTTCATGTTGGCCGCTTCCCATGTTCCCTGATACGGTTTGTTTGTTATTTGGTGATTTTCAATATCCCTTATTATGTATCTATCGTTCCGCAAGACTCGAATTACTTCATAGGGCCCTTTAAATTCAAGGATAAGTTTGTGTGACGCGCCTTTAGTAGTATCTATATTCTTGATCATAACGTAGTCACCTACGCTGTAAGTGTGTGCTATTTTCCTTTTCCTATCGAAATATTCCTTGTTGTATTTCTGACTCTTTTCTATTTTCTTAGCCGCTCTATTTCTTAAATTTACTAGATCGCGATCGTTATTATTTACAACACTTTCCAGATGTTCCTGAATTTTATCGACTATTTTCCCTTTCTGGTCTACTCCGAATAAAAGCCTACTAGGCGTTTCGCCTGTCGTTTTATGTACCGAATTATTTATCGCAAATTCTACTTCTGTCACAACTTTATACCAGTATACCTTCTCGTCGTTATTTATTAATTTACTTATCATAGGGCCTATGAATCTATTGGTACGTTCTACCTGCCCATTCGCTTTCGGGGAGACTGTCGCAATACAAATGTGGCGAATGTCATTCTCTTTACAAAAAACCTGAAAATCGTTGGCCATAAAAGCCGTGCCCCTGTCCGATATAACAATGCGTGGTCTACTGTACGTGTTAAAATGTAATGTTACGTTATCAATAACCTCTTTCGTCGCCGTTGTTTTCGTTGGATACAATCTCGTGAACTTAGAGAATGCATCGATGACAACTAAAATATATCGCTTAGTTAATTTATCCTTATCTACCGGTCCGTAATGGTCTACGTGGTACGTCTCAACGGCACCTGGCTCTTAGGGATAGGTATCCTTCTTTCCTACCCGTTGGCGGCGAGAATGCTATGCATTTTAAACAATCTGCGATATAGTTTTTTATTTTCAATAGCTTTTTAGGAAACCAATAGCTTTTTAGCATTGTCTCTAATGTTTTTTCAACCCCTAGGTGGCCCATTTGATCGTGATACTTATTAATAACGTGCGACTCCATCGCCTGGGGAACGTAAAATAATAATTCTGTACCGTGTTTCCGGTAAACTATCCCATTTCTCATCTTAAAATGTGCGTCTTCAGCTTTTTGAAGCTCCTCCCATAACTCACGAAGCTTACAATCCCGACCCTGACTAAGAGCCAGATTTAGTTCAAACGAGTTCTCCTCTACTATTAAAACATCTGTAGGTAGCCTACTTAAAGCGTCTACATGACACATTTTTGCATTTGAACGATGTTCTGTTACACAATCATATTCTAGTAGTTCTAATGTCCATCTTGCTATACGCGGATTTATTTCTTTCTTCTTTAATGCTAGTGTTAGGGCCACTGCGACCAACGCCGATTAACTTTAATCGACGATTAACTCAATCAGCAGTGTCGCCAACAACAAGATATTTGTCGTTGTGTATGTCGTTCTTAACCAATCTTTTCAAATATTATACTACTTCTCTTTAATTTGAATAAAGGTGTTTCGATTTTTATTTAAAATATTTACGAAAACGTGTTTATGTAACATGGATAGAATTATTAATTTTTTATTATTTTATGAATACGAGGGTTATGATCTTCCAATAAGAAGGAATCGACGAAAACCACGTATAATCAGGCCACGTATAAATTATTTAGAAATTTTTGATGATGATTATTTTAAAAGAAGATTTGCAATATCAAAGGAAAACTTTAACATAATATTAGAAAAAATTTATGTTGAATTACAACATAAAACTAATCGCGATTAGTTATGTATATAATTGAATAAATATGTGTATAAATATACACATATTTATTTATTTATTTAATTATATACTGCGACGCTTTTTCCCCCGGTCTCGCAATCCGGTGGAGGGCTATCGAGGATTGGCAGCACGCGTAACTAATTCCGACACCAAAGTTGGGCGCCAGGTGCAACGGATTGCACCACCGTACACTATAATCTCTAACACGATATTCCCGGCAATACTTCCGGGCGTAGGGCTCTTTCAGGGAATTCGGAGAGAGGCGTCACACAATCAATCACACACACAAAAGTATAAGTAATAATAACAGAATATATATTTAGTCAGGTAATATCAAGGTGTAGGTATAATCGATCTGAGTCTCGTATTACCGCAACAATGTCGGCTAGGCGGACGCACGAATGCCGCAGACGCAATAAGTGCACGCAGTAATGTCGACTATGAAACACAGTAGACTAATGCACGCGAAGTTCTAAACGCAACAGATAAACGCAGACGGACACACGAAAGCTTAACAGAAATACTGACGATTCAGGTATCGCGGTACCTGGCTTCAAACTCACAAGGAACTTACGCCACGAGGCCGACGAACCGCTCGCCGCACCTTCGGCAGCTCCTTCAACGCACACCCGGGCCACTTCGATTCCGCACGACGCAAAAAGTATGGGCGATCTCGCCGAGTCGACCACGCTGGCCGGCGATTGCCCCCGAACACGAAATAAGGACACGTATCGCGGACGATCCCGCAGCTTGCTACGCGAATCCCGAATTCTTTCGTAAGCACGGAGATTCCGCGGCCCCGCGCCGATCCCGTCGATCTTTATATTCGCCGTCCTCGAGGGCCCGGATACGTTACTTAAATACGAGGGCGAGTGCCCTTCAAATTACATGACCACTCGCGGCTCGCCGTTACCCGCACAACTCGCTCCCGTTATCGCCACGCAAGACCTTACTCTTATTATCCCTCTCGTTAATATGGCCAGGACGCGACACGATTACGAGCTTAAATAATATGGCCAAAACGCGACACGATTACGAACATAAACTCTATCACAATGAAACGCGACACGATTACGAATAACGCGATACGATTACTTACATTAATTCGACGAGACGCTACATAAACGCGACACGAT